CAAACCCGACGAACAAGAGCCACCGGGTGGATAAACCCTAGCCGGCGCCACCCGCCAACTGTGATCAGAAGGTCAAGACCGGGTAGCGATACCAGATCGCCCCTTATTCACTCCGAACCCGGCCTGCGATCTAGCGAGGGATGGAGCGAGGGGATGGAGGATCTCAACGGCGGCTCAAGGTCGCCGAGAGGACATGGGAAACCCTACCTACGTGAGGAGGGGAGCTCAATGCGGGCATTTTGTAGTGTGAGGTTTGGCTGGGATACTTGTGCCCCGAATGGCCCAGCCCAACTAATCAGCAGAATAGCCAGCCACCTCAATGAAGAAGAAGCAACAGAGAGCTTGGCGCTGCGGCAAATTGCCTAGCGGACGCACAGGCAACTCCAACTGGGCCGGCCCATTAGCAAAACACAGTGAAAATCACAAAAAAAAGTGATCGAGGGAGAGGGATCGAACAAGAACCACGGTTTTCGCGAGTGGCTAGCCAACGGGATAAACGTGCTTTGTTGGTTTAAGATGACGCGCGAAACTATAGGCAATGTCAGATCCGAACATTTTGTCAAATTCCAAACTCGAACAATATTTTCAAAAGCGTGAAAAGTGAACATTTTATGAATATGTGAACAAAATTTGATAATGGGAACATTTTTTGAATATGTGAACAATTTTGATAAAGGAAACATTTTTTCTAATTCTGAACAAAATTTGAAAACGTGAAAAGTTTTTAAATCCGTGAACAATTTTTGAAATGAAACCATTTTTTCAAACTTGGAACAAAATTTGGAAAAAGAACATTTATTAAGTTTCCAAACAGTTTTTGAAAAACATGATTTTTTTTTACATATTTAAAACTGTGAGATGTTCTTAAAACGAAAAAGAATAGGAGAAAAAAAGATTAAAAAACTGGTAAGAAAACCAGAACAAGCAGTAAAGAAATTTGTGACTATTCTTTCAAAATGGGAATTTTTTTTAAAATCACGAACAAAATTTGAATTTTTCAATTTTTTTTCAAAAAGGAGAACATTTTTTGAAAATACCAAACAAATTTGAACACGAACAATATTTTAATACGTGAACAAAATTTTGAAAACAATTTTTTTTTATAAATTTGTGAACAATTTTTTAAATCCCGATCATTATATGAAATGTCCTGACAAAATTGAACAAAAGCATTCCAGGCATTTTGAAAAAGGGAATATTTTTTAAATCCCAGAACATTTTGTTTAAAATGCGAACATTTTTTGATTTTTTGATTTTTTTGGGAAAACACATTTTTTTAGAAAAATCACGTTTGTAAAAGTGAGAACAATGTTTTTAAGTTTACAAACAATTTTTGAAACGTGAGTTTTTTTCGAAAAGTATAAACTGAAAAAATTAAAAAGAAGCGAAAAAAGAAACAGAAAAGAAACATAAAAGACAAAATAAAGTAGAAAAATAAACAGAAAAATGTAAAAAAGAAAAACCAAAAACCAAAAAGAAAGAAAAAACCGGTTCAGTTAACCTTCTAGAAACTTCCCGAAACCAGAAAAAACCAGCTGGGAAACTCTAGAAGATTCCCAAAACCGGAAACGCGGACACTGTTAATGGGCCGGCCCAGTTCATCGTTAGATCGCCAGCTCTTATGCGAAGCCTAGACATCTTGACGCAGAGAGCGTCAAATAGGATATTCCACAAAGGTTTGCCCACATTGAAAAAAAAGGTTTGTCCAGCCCAGGCCCAGTTGCTCTCTGAAGGACTGGAAGGATGTCTGAACTGATGCCCCCCTGGATAGATCGAGTGCCTAGAAATTTACTGCAAGCAACTTGCAGCAATGATCATCATCAGAAGAGATGATCCTTGGTTTCTAGCAGTAAAATTCCACACATAACACAAGTGTAATTGTGCAAGAATAAAATGTCCTGCTGCAGCTCTTCTGAATTTTCCAACCTTGAGCCAAGTAGAAAAAATGTACAACAGTTGTATATATAGTTTCTGAAGATCTGACACCTCAGTTGCGAAGCGGTAAGCCCGTTTGTGAAGAGCCAACGATTTTGGTTGCATGTCGTCTTAAAAATTCTCATTCAATATATGGCCTTGTGCATCGATCAACTGAAAGCTGGGAGTTCAACCTCTTTTCGTCGAGGGAAAACAAGGAAAGCTTAGCACTGCATAAATTCAGATCTCAGAGAGGTGTCATGACTTAGATGTGCAATAAAAGAACTAGGTTTGAACATGTCTTGGGATGCCGACACGGTTTAGACGGTGGCCTTTCAACAACCGATGGGGCGAGCTGCTCACTAAGCAAAATCATTTAGTCCAGGACTAGACTGGGCTAGGGTGCTGGTGGGTCGTATTGACTAGATTAGGTTGCATACGCAACGGTTTGGGTAGGACTAAAATACACTAGCCATTGTTAAATGAGGGCATCATATACAGTTCACCTCTTATAGATGGGCTTAAACTAGAACAGGGATGAGCTACGTGACAGAAGTGATGGCACTTAATTAAGTGAAGCATCTCAATCGCTGGTGCTATCAGTGCTTACATGCAGGGAGATCTCAACATTGATTGAAGGGTCGCCAAAATGCCGCTATTCTACATTGAAAACATCTCAACCTGCGCCAAGAGCGAAATGGTTGCCCCTTTTTTCTCTTTGATTGAAGAAGGGTCTACGGCGCGCGGGGGGCAGAAACTGCCCACCTGATGTGGTTGCCTCTTCCTCTCTGACTTTCATTCAGATGTGAATGTCCAAGTTGTGCATTGGAGAAGCTGAAGGAAACATACTCTTCTGAATTTCCAGGAAAAAAGACACTCTTCTGAATTTCCTTTTTCAAGGGCAAACAGTAACTATCCTACTGCGTGTACATATAAATTTTCAAATGCCTGTAACTGAAGTAAAATAACAAAACATAAAGATAGAGAGATACTCCCTCCGCCCGGAAATATTTGTCGAAGAAATGAATAAAAATGGATGTATCTAGAACTAAAATACATCTAGATACATCCATTTCTACGACAAGTATTTCCGGACGGAGAGAGTACTATTCAAATATAGCCTTCAACCCATGCATGCTTGCAATTCATGATATGATTTCTTTCTTGCACCGTGCATAATCATAGGTAAGCTTTGCTTTTAGAATTTGTGCTGCATATGTAGAGGGAGGTTTGGCATCGATTAATTGGCAGCTGGGAGTTCAACCTCTTTTTTCAGGGAAAACAAGGAAAGCTTAGCGCTGCACAAATTCAGATCTGAGAGATGTGTCATGATTTAGAAGTGCAATAAAATAACTATATAGTATGTTTGAACATGTCCTGGATGCCTACACGGTTTAGACGGTGGCCCTTCGATAATCGATGGGGCGAGCTGCTCACTAAGAAAAAATCGTTTAGTTCCGTACTTGACTCAGCCGGTGCCCTCTTGGGTCGTATTGATTAGATTAGGTTCCATATGATACGGTTTAGGTAGGACTAAAATACACCAACCATTTAAACTGGGGCATCATCCATCATGTACAGTTCATCTCTTGTAGATGTGGCTTAAACTAGAACGGAGATGAGCTGGGTGATAGAGGTGTGGCACTTAATTAAGTAATTAAGTGCAGCATCTTAACCACTGATGCTGCCGTTGCTTACATGCGCAGAGATCATGTTCAAACTGGTGGTGGAGCTTAATTGCGCCTAAGTGCAGCATCTTAACCACTGATGCTGTCGTTGCTTACATTTCACAGCTAAATTACATTTGTAAAGCACAAATAATACTGTATGTTCAATGGACATAAGTATAAAATCTGCCCTCTAGGTCCGATCATGCAAAAGGTGGACTGTTTCTTATAATATTGCAACAAAAATGTGCATCTACAATATCATGTCCTAAAATGTCAAATCCAAATTCAGAGTTCCAGAAATAAAGATACAAAATCATGTGGCGCAAAGTAGTTGTGCAAGTAGATTTTGAGTTAGTCAGAGTACTATTTCATCACCACTCCTCGTTCTGTTTCACGACACATGCATTAGTTGAAAGTTGAAGCTATACTTGAATTTCGTGATATATAGATGAACCTTGTGTCAATGCAGCTAAAAGGGCATGCTTACCTCTCCAGATGGCATGAATTACATATATGGAACAGAGTGAATAACAGGAGGGCAGTGCCTGATTGCCAGGTTGACCACAAGGAAGCTTCGCTTCCCCTTCCCATTCAAAGCGGTGCCGTGAACGCATTGATGATGAAGTTGACTAGCATATATATGCAATTAAATTGAAGATAGTGCGTCTCAACTTGCACAGCTTTCTGTTGTTAATTCGCATTAGCTCACAATATATGTACAGCCTGTTGGCACCTTCGAGAGGGAGAAAACTAACAACTTGTATATTTGTAGTTAAGCAGTGCAATAATGGTTTATTTGTATGCTGAGTGAGTATGAGAGATCAATATGCCTACAGATTTTTCTTTTTTGCAATTTCGATTGTAATATGTCTACAGAATATTTAAAGGATGTACACAAGAGAATTTTGCAAAGAAATGTAATGGTAGTTCTTCCATGCTCAGTATATATAAACATTATGGGCTACTAGTTCTAATTTTTTAAAATGGGTGAATTTATTGAATTAAGACAACCATTAAGCCTTGATACACAGCACATATATGCACGTAGTATCATGTGCAATTAACACTGTCAAAGCTTAGACCCACGCAATTAGTTGAACCAATGCACGTTGTACCATGTGCATTTAGCACGGTCAGAGCATAGATCCACACGATTAGCTGAACCAATGCACGTTGTACCATGTGCACTTGATATATGCTAGCTGCAGGGCTCCCGAGGAAAAAAGTGGGCAAAATATATGATAATAGAAGACAAATTTCTTTGATCTGTAAAGACAACTTTATAGTTAGAAACACTATAAAAACGAGCGTGTGAGGACATAACTTACCCTGCCCCCACCCGCCAACACACACACACAGACACACAAAGCATTATTGTGCACAAACAAATTGAGCAACCAGCTGCTGAGAGCGACCATGGACCTTGCGACGGGGGCCATGGGCAGCCTGCTCCTCAAGCTTGGTGACCTCCTCACGAAGGAGTACAAGCTGCAGACGGGCGTCAAGGAAGATGTTGAGTATCTAAAGAGAGAGCTAGAGAGCATGTATGCTGCCCTCCGCAAGGTTGGGGACGTGCCACGAGACCAGCTCGACAAGCAGGTCAAGCTCTGGGCCAATGAAGTCAGGGACTTGTCGTTCATAATGGAGGACATCGTCGACAAGTTCCTGGTGCGCGTCGAGGGAGCTGAGCCAGCCATCAAGCCACGCAAACTCAAGAAGCTCATGAAGAAGATGGGGGACTTGTTCAGCAAGAGCAAGACTCGCCATGAGATCTCGGATGAGATCAAAGACATCAAGGTCCGCGTCAAGGAGGCGGCTGACCGACGTGATAGGTACCGGGTCAACGATGTGGCTGTTAATCCAGTTGGCGCAATCACTGTTGACCCTCGCCTATTGGATTTGTACAAGGACCAGAAAGAGCTCGTTGGTATTGATGATTCATTGAATGAGCTAACCAAGATGATGAGTGATGGGGATGGTGATGTGTCCAAGCAACTCAAGATACTCTCTATTTTTGGATTCGGAGGACTTGGCAAGACAACTATTGCCAAAGCAGTGTATGATAAGCTTAAAGCGCAGTTTGATTGTTGTGCTTTTATTCCGGTAGGACGGAACCCTAGCGTGAAGAAACTTCTCAATGGCATACTCCTTGAAATTTCTGGGCAAAAATACTTGGAGTTGGATGAAAGGCAGCTAATCAACAAACTCCAAGGATTACTTGAGAATAAAAGGTACGCGACCTATTATGTAATTCATATGCTTCAAGTAGTAAATAGGGGGTTGCATGAAAGGCAACCAATCATTGAACTCCGAGAACAAGAGGTATGCACTGTGTTATGTAGTTTCATATACATCAAATAGTAAATGGGGAAAAATAGCATCGACCCTGAGAAGAAATGAGTTTTGGATGAGTGGAAAATTTGGTTTGAGACATATTACAAGATAAGGGTTTCGATGTCCTATCATCACTCTTGTGTATTTTGCAAAATATATGTGTACTTGTTTGCGCATGATAATGTACCGTATCAAGATTTTCTACCCTCTTTACTATAATTTGGGCTGGGACTTCCGTCGAATCTCGCCGTTGTTTCATATATTATAGTACTTCTTACAGCTGATGTTAATTCAAAAATATATCTAAGAGTCGAAAGTATCTAGATTCGAAAATGTTGTTAATCAAAACTAGAATTCTGGATGATGAAATGGAATTAAACTCAGCTCGTGCATACATGTCTCTCTCCTGGACTCCTCCACGTCCTGATTCAACAATGCAACTTTAGATTCCTCAACAAGTAGGCTAACATGCATGCATCCTCTTTTCAAAGATATTTAGAATACTTAGGGGCCTTATAAAATATTTCCACTAATTTGTTATATCCCTTGCGTTATGGATGGTGATGACAGGTATTTAATTGTCATTGATGACATATGGGATACAAAAACATGGGAACTAGTCAAGACCGCTTTGGTGTGTAACAATTGTGGAAGCAGGATAATCACAACTACTCGTATACTCGAAGTTGCCACAATGGCCAGTGAAGTATACAAGCTACAACCTCTTTCTCTTGATTTATCCAAGGATTTATTTCATAGAAGATTATCTTGTGCTGCAATAGAATGGCCTAATCATCTTCCAGCAGAGGTATATGATAAAATTTTACATAAATGTGGTGGTGTACCATTGGCTATAATCACAATAGCTAGTTTGCTTGGCGGCAAACCTGTGGAGCTTTGGTCTAAGGTATACACTTCAATTGGTTTTGGGGATGAAGATAACGAAGACGTGGAGAACACAAGAAAAATACTTTTATTTAGCTATTATGATCTACCTTGTCACCTAAAGACTTGCTTATTGTATCTGAGCATATATCCTGAAGATCATCTGATTGAAAAAGATAGTTTGATATGGAAGTGGGTCGCCGAAGGTTTTATCCAAGAGGAACCAGGGGTAGGACTATTCGAGATTGGTGAGAGGTACTTCAACGAGCTGGTGAACAAAAGCATGATAATGCCGGTAGAGGAGGCCCTGTATTTAGGCATGGAAATGCATGTTGGCGCCATAACTGGATGTCGCGTCCATGACATGATGCTGGATATGATATGCGTATTGTCAAAGGAAGAAAAGTTTGTTACTGTATTGGACACTGATGAGCAATATACAACTTCACATTGCAACGATCGTAGGCTAGCTGTTCAATATATAGTCCGACCTCTGGCTAGCACGTCTACATTACAAGCAAGGTCACTCATTGCCTTGTGTAATATTGAGATGTTGCCATCACTTTCATGCTTTGAAGCTTTGCGTGTTCTAGCTTTGGAAGGCCCCTATGATTCACACCATCCTAGTCATCTTGAGCATGTTGGAAAGTTAGTTCACTTGAGGCACCTCAAACTATCGAGCATGGATATCGGTGAGCTCCCAAAGGAAATAGGATATCTAAAGTTCTTGTTGGTATTGGACTTAGGTAGAAATAGCATAAGTGAACTTCCAGAGAGTATTGGTCGACTAAGTCAACTCAAGTGCTTGAACATCTGCGAAACAGACATTGAAGTGCCATACTGGATCGGAAATTTGACTTCTCTGGAAGAGCTAAGCCTAGGAGAAGTTGACGATGACAACTTTGTGACAGAGCTGGGCAAGTTGACAGAGTTGAGGAAGCTCTACATTTCTGGAATTTTAAAATTATCCAATGATCGTGCAATGAATGGTTGGGCGGAGTCTGTAGCCAAAGTGAGCAAGATCCAAGTCATAGACATCAGTTTAGTTTTAGGGTGTAGAATTTCCCATCATGAGGAGAACCCCTGGGAACGGTATGCCCTCTCTCCACAACTCCGTTTTCTACACATGGCCTACGATGAACCTGGGCTGGTGGCAAGGATCAATCCCTCACTTCTTCCAAACTTGTCCCATTTAAAACTGCGAATATTCGGTCCAGATCTGGAGGTCTTTGGAAGTTTCCGCGAGCTTGTTTCCCTCAAGCTCGTCACGAGTTCAGCTCCACATCATGACACCATGGGTGGTGCAGGTGCCTTCCCCAAGCTGAGGGTCTTCAAGACACAAGCAACGCTTGGCTCGTTTCAAGAGGGAGATATGCCGGTCCTTGAATCTCTTGAGTTCAGCATTGTAGCACAGTCCAATGATGATGGCATTAGCTTTGGCTTCGACTTTGGTAGCCTAGGGAACCTCCCTTTGCTTAAGGAAGTCATAGTCACTTTATATGCTCCTCCTGCGGACCACAAGAAGGCTAGGGAAACTGCGAAGCGTGCAATTCATGTGCTTCCCAACTGCCTTAGACATTATATCACACTAGAGGATATAAAGAAGTTGGAGGTAACTAAGTGTATATTTATTTATTCATTTTTCAGGGGCAGCTAGCCATGTATCTCACGGATTTCCTTTTTCCCCTTTTCCAGATTCTCACGGAGCTAAGATTGCCGTGCATCTCCACCTGCGGGAATCAAGGTATGCACGCTCCCTTCCCTGTCTTTTTCTTTAATTATTTTATAGACTAGACAAAACAACAGGAATTGCCGATTAACTGTAAAAAGAAAAGTTGATTAACAATCTGCGTGCACGATACATATATCTTTCTCATCATTTTAAATAGTAACCATTGGTACTCCAAGTATACATTTACTGAGAATTACTCCATATATGCAGGCTGACAGCGGTGTTAACAAATCACCGTGGAAAAAGAAAAAAATTATCAGGAGGCTTTCATTTGTTCGCTCTATTATTTATTGTGTTTTAAGCAAAGGAAAAAACACAAAAAATATCTATTTATTTTACTGTCTTTTCAAAAAATGGAAAATGAAACCACACAAAGCCAAAAAGAAGTGCTTTTTTTTCTATGTTCTCATTTTTTAACAGAAGAAAAAATTCCAAAAAAAAATGTTGGGTTGTTTTAATGCCTTTTGTAGTAAAGAAAACGAAAATCAGACAAAAAATTTGTTTCTCTGCCTTTCGTAGTAATGGAAAAAAAATCACACAAAAAAAGTTTGTTTTGAGGGTTGAGTAGTGTGTTACTTCGTTGTTCACTCAGAAAAAGAATTCTAAAAGAGGCTCTTGGGGTTTCGTTACCATTTATTTGGCGTGTGTCGTTTGTTTTTGTATCTTGGGTCTTGGTTTTGGAGATTGTGCATGCGCGTGTGTGTGTCTTGTTCTTTGGGTTTTGGTTTTTGGTTTAGTGGGGTTCGATGTGTATATGGGGGTGTGTAGAGTGGGGGTGTAACTCCGCCTATGCTAAGATGATGGTACGCTTCATGTTGCATAGCCGGTCTCAAGCCCGGAAAAAGGAGGAGGGGCCAAACTCTGTTTATTATGAAATTGTGTGACATTACATGTAGCATTTGCAACTGGTTTTTGGCACTTCCCTTTTTGCCTCTTAGAGTTTCATTTCCATTTAGTGTTATTTTTCTCTGATGGTGCAGCTATATCCTGGCTGCAATTCATGCCCATCTCGTACATGATGTCCAGGAGATCTAACGGGCAAAAGAAGTATCAGGTATGGCATGTTTATGTGTAGATTTTTTGATGTAAAGGTGAGGAGTCAATACCTTCTGTCTATAGTTTGATTCATGATTTCATATCTGGATTGATAAACTGAACCTCTGGCTGAAAGAGCAAACTTATGCAGAGAATTCACTGTTGTTGATAGAAAACTACTCTTGGGACAGGCTTACGCCAGATCAATTACCAGGTGCAGATCTTCCTATTTGGATTGCTGCACAAAGGGCAGTCTCTCGTTATGAAGGATCTCTGCCAGAAGCAACGGTAAAGTCTGATACTGAACAAATCATTCGGAAGGCTATGTGGGGTTAGATTCCGAGTATATGCCTGGTTACCTTCTGCTACTTTATGGGCATATCTTTGACTAACTTAGGCAAATGTACTTCATTGGTACTAGCGGAGACCAGGGTTTGACTATGAACATCATAACCACTTGCTTATTATAAGTTTCGACAGTTCACATTCTCATTTTCCATTGCGTACATGCTTCCATGCCACCAGAACCCAAAAAAGTACTGTTGTCACCCTTATTTACCGGTTTCTTTCTTTTCGTACGTACATTATGTTGAAAGAAGTGTGATATAATCAACATTAAAATTGATACTGTAGGGCTTTTCCTGTTAATTTGTGGTGCCTACTTTGGTACTTGACCACTATATATTCATGAATTTATGAAGTATATTCTGCTTTCGCTTCAGGCCAAAATTTCTGCCTAGAATTACCCTTGCAAACATATAGGAGCCAGCAAGCAGAGAATCTTGTGGCAACAATATTTGGGAGATAACTAAAGCTTCTTCTCGGATTTTATTTGCCAAGTCTACTCTCCCGGTATCTAGGATTTGATATCTGAACACCTTTTCTTTCCAGTAGGTCATGAATACAACTATTTATATTATGATTGTGTAGTATTTGCCATTTTGTGTCAAATATTTAACCATTGGGAGATGGTCTAGTGGAAGTACGGAACAGAGGACTGGCTAATGTAGAAACTGTTGATGGATTGTAAGCATAGATAGCCCTTCAGCAGAGTTGTAGTCAATGTGCAAAAGGTGGACAATCTCCCCCCTTTTAATTTTGATAACATTAAAAGCAGACGCATCAACAATGATGCACATTGTTGTATAACTTACCATGAGGCAACAGATTGGGTAACACCACCTTGATGCAGAAATTCCAGTGCCTTTTCGATGTGAAGGACAGTAGTTAAGACTGAATATTATCGCACTTGCCTGCAGAACAGTTGGAGTACACAGTATTGGCCTACTTGCCAAGAGGTTAGGGATCGAACAGTAAGCATGTACTGTATCCAGTGTTTAAGTTTGATGCTTACCTTCCCTGGTGCATACACAAACACAATATCAGTTACAGTGTCAATGTCCGGGATGAACACTTATTGTGCATTAACTGAAGGTTCCATCAAAACCGTGCCTTTCAAATCCCCCCTTCCCAATCGACATATCTGGATTGGAGAAAGAAAATTAGCTTTCACTTTCACCAGAAAGAATTAACATGTATACGAAAGTAGTGCAGATGTCACAGGGAAAAAAATTAGCCGATGATAAAAAGTTTCAGTTTCACATAACTCAACAGCCTGCACACTGAAGTGTACTTTCATTGAAGAGATTCTAATTCACTGTGGACAGAACTGTGAGGGCTTAAGCCTCGACGCCGACGCCGATGCGCGCGGGGCCTCCACATTCATGCTCTCCGGCTGCCGCCGGTGCTCCTGTCCCCTCCCTTGCTTATGGGAAGAGGAAATCGCGGTTGCTGAAGCCCGCGAGAAGGTGGCGGAGAAGAGCGGGGATGAGCGAAGGGAGAAGAATGGATAGATCGGTGGCGGAGGCTCGCCGCCGGCGGCGTGGAGCTGTGGTGGAGGGCGGCGGCATGGATGGATCTCTGTCCTGTTTTCCCTTTCTTCGACAGAGATTTGTTTTTTTTTCTTTTTAAGAAAATCGTCGACAGAGACAGAGAGAAGTCGAGCGCTGGGCCGACGGCCCATCGTTCCTTCTCGCTAAGCCATTTTGCTCTCTAGCTTCCCGCCTTCTGGGGCCCATTTCGTTTGTGCATTTTTTTCCGCGGACGTGAGTAAGTGTGTGTGTGTGTGAGAGAGAAAGGTTCTGTGATGCAGGATGCTGTTGAAAGGGAAACAACTAGTTGGCGAGCGCTTCTTCAGGGGTGGGCTAAGAGCACGCCAGGCCGCTGCCATGTGTCGCATTTTGAATCTTTTCTTCCGGTTTTTTTACACATGCGTTTTTGGCTTTTTATACGGTTTTCCAGGTTTTTCTGGTATTTTGGTTTTCCATCGGTCTTTCTTAGGTTTTGGAACAAAAAATTTCAACAAAAATATTTCTTTTGCATTGAAAAACATGTTTTTTCGCGAGAGGCACGAATTTACTTTCGTGAGAGATACGGCTATGCCTCTCAGAAACAGAAAAAAAAATATGTTTGTTTTTTTCCTTTCAGGAGAGGCACGGTTTATGCTTTTCGCGAGAGGCACGGTTTTGCTTCCGTGAGAGGCAAGGCCATGCCTCTCGAAAATGCAAAAAACATTTTTTCTCTTTTTTTTCCCGCGAGATGTACGGTTTTTGCTTCCGTGAGAGGCAGTTTTTGTTTTCGCCGTGCCTCTCAGAAACAAAAAAAAAGGCGCATTTTCTCTTCTTTTTTCCTTCCACGAGAGGCACGGGTTTGCTTCCGTGAGAGGATGACGTGCCTCTCGGAAGCGAAAAAAAACGTGCTCCTTTTTTTCCTTCCGTGAGAGGCGTGGTTTTGCTTCCGTGAGAGGCACAGCCGCACCTCTCGAAAATGGAAGAAAAATGCATTTTCTTTTTTTTCTTCCGCAAGAGACATGGTCGTGCCTCCGCAATGAAAAAAAAATATGTTTTCTCTTTTTTTTTTCATGCGGCATGGTTTTGGTTTCGTGAGAGGACGAGAAAGAAAAAAGTGTTTTCTCTTTTCTTTTCCTTCCATGAGAGGTACGGTTTTTGCTTCTGTGAGAGGCAGTTTTTGTTTTCGCCGTGCCTCTCAGAAACAAAAAAAGGCGCGTTTTCTCTTCTTTTTTCCTTCCGCGAGAGGCACGGGTTTGCTTCCGTGAGAGGATGACGTGCCTCTCGGAAGCGAAAAAACGTGTTTTCTCCTTTTTTTCCTTCCGTGAGAGGCGTGGTTTTGCTTCTGTGAGAGGCACAGCCGCACCTCTCGAAAATGGAAGAAAAATGCGTTTTCTCTTTTTTTTTCTTCCGCAAGAGGCACGATTTTGCTTCCGCAAAAGACATGGTTGTGCCTCCGCAATGAAAAAAACATGTTTTCTTTTTTTTTCATGAGGCATGGTTTTGGTTTCGTGAGAGGACGAGAAAGAAAAAAGTGTTTTCTCTTTTCTTTTCCTTCCGCGAGAGGCACTGTTCTTTCTTCTGCTTTTTTCCGTCCGGTCTTTCATGAAAGAAAAAGTTCGTCAAAACCTATCAACATGGGATCCAGTTTTAAAAATTTCGACACAAGGAATCCAGCAACAAAAACGGTTTGATATTTGGACGCGGTTTAAGAGATAAAACGTTTTGAATAAACGGATGTACGAAAAAAGGAAAAACTCCCAGGTTGCGACAAGTGGCGCACATGACTTGTTGCAAACTGGAAAGGTGGAAGTGATCGTAGGAAGGAATGCTCCTCAATTAGTGATTTCGTGTTGAAAGTGGAATGGTTTTGTACACTTCAAAGTTGGGCTTTTTCCCCTGGCGCTCGGGCGAGGGTTTAGGCTTCCTCTACGGTGCCATCGCCAAGAGTTTTCCACCGGCCGATCGCAAGTCCCATCCATCAAACCTTTGCTATGAATTGCATGCGATCTCAGTTTGGGATGGCGGGTTTCGTGAGAAAGGAGGCGAGATGGCAGACGGAGCGAGTAGTAAAAGGAAGGGGAAACATGACGAAGATGTAGAAGAATTACTCAAATAGACTCGATCTGCATGAGCACGACTGCGGTGATTTTGTTTAGGAAGATGAACCGGGACTGCAAGGGGTTCAAGCCAAGTGGCTAGCCATCGTCCGTGTTCGTACCATCAAAGGCTTTAGTCCTTCAGCCTTGTATACGCGGACTAGAGGGTGACACGTGTTTTGCCGCGCCGTTGTTCAGACATGATATTATGGTTGGTGGTTTCGTTGTGTGTTT